AAGTATGACCAATGAATGAGAAATGAATACCGTATGAACCTATAATTTGCAGGTGTGGAAAAATGTCTCATTTTTACAGCTTGATAAGTTTTTGCCTGTGGAGAAGGTTAAATCATTTACATCAATCACTAATACTAACTACTTTATTGTAGTTCAAGTTTTATTTACAAAACAACATTATCATTCTAATCATATTTTCTGTCACAAAATAGCACACATCAACATTTGTTACTGTGACAAGCCAAGTCAATCATTTGTTAAATAATTTATGTGATTGTTAGAGTATAACCTGATTTAATGTAAAATGCAATCCACGTTCATACACATCTAAAAAGATATACTTCAACATAACTTATAGCTCCTACAACGTTTAAATCAAGGCTTTCTGCTGTACGTGTTGAAATTTAAAACAACATTTGTCTTTTTTATTGCTCTCTTATGAGTTTTTTTTTTTTTTTATCACAATGACTTTATCACTTTTGAGTTATACCTGGGCACTCCATAGCTTTGGGGAGTACACAATATAGATGCTAGCTCACCACACACACACAGATGAGGGCAGCAGCTCCACAGAGAGTAGACGGAGCACACATGTTTGGGCTAATGACCCATACATAAGTCCTTGCTCTGATAATGAGACTCCAATTAATTGAATTGAATGGCTTCTCTGATCCTTTAATAAACTTGTCTTATAAATACAGACTGTCAGATGAGTCGTGCATGATGAGTCTATGGCGCCCTCTACTGTAAGCCCCAGAAGAGGATGCTTTTGTACTGTTTGGTAGTGGATATTTTCCAGTTGCATTATAGAAGCCCAGAAGTTTGTAATTGTTATAGTAAGGAACACATTAATGGCTAGACGCTGAAAAAAAGACAACTGACTTGGCTTGAAAAAGAGCGAGATTGGCATGGGTACAGAGACAGGGCTCAGCCAAACCTGTATGTAATGTGTTTAATTGTAATTTTCACATTTACCAAAACATCACAAAAAAACAAAACAAAAAAACACACACTCACCTTTACAATCACACTGACAACCAGCATGGCTTTAATAAATCAGCATTTTACCTCCTACTTGTTATGACAGATAGAGGCCACATCACTACAAAATGACAGGGCTAGATGACAAGACAATCTGATCTCAGTCACAGTGACCTTTCTCTCAGCTCTCACAATTTACAATCACCACTGTTTGTGTTCTCAGCCTTATTGGACACCACACAACAAATGAAAAAGGAAAAAAGATGTAGGCTGCTTAAAGGACAGAGGGACCACTATAAGGGTACACATCATAAAATAGTAGCTATAAATAAAGCAGGCCAAAGCATCAGGGAGGAAACATATAGGAGGTAAATGTTACAGTAGCAGTGCCCCGTCCTACACATGACCCTGTCTCTAGAGGAGAAACACATGAAGTATGAGGCCAATTGAATTTGCCAACTTTCTGGGTATAGAGTTTTAGCTCTTTTGTCCTATAGAGATGTATACATACATCACATACATTTGGCAGAAATTGGATATATTACCATATGAAAGCTTTATTGTGGACTTGTAGGTTGTACAGTATATTGAAAGGTAAACTCTTCGTCCTAAAGTGCATTATGCTGTATGTATGACGCTAGTTTGTCACTGTCTTCAATACATGATGTTCTGTTTTTATTAAGTAAAAAATAATAATTCATCCAAATGATTTATTTTAGATCAATGTAATATAACTCAAGAAACAAAGGTGACATAATATATTTTTGTAAATAGGTTTAACATTTTATTTTTAGTGAAGTTCAAAGGTCCTTTTCTATTATTGCAATGATAATAGTTGGGTTACCAAGCTATAACAGTTACTAGTTGTCCTCATGTATAAATAGTCCATATGGTTTGATGTAAAAGCTCTGAAGAATGCAAAAGAAAGCTCATTACGTTGTTAGAAGATGGTGAGATTTTTTTTGGTAAGAGTTTTGTTCTTTGCACTCCTTTTTGGGCAAAAGTCATACCTATGACATACGCATTTATGTCAACATGGATGTTCTATTATGTTCCATTATAAAAGAAAGTCAAATGTTTTTTTTTTTAATAATTAAAAGTTTAACTTTTCACATTTTAGAACTGTTTCTTTTCTATGTGGACTCAGGTGTGCTCTATCCTGTACAATGGCAAATAAAGCAAACCTAAAACTGACAGATAAATATTCATCACTGCAGTTATAAAGATAGAAACACACCACTTGCTCCAGTTATGCTCTCAAGAGATCTACTACAGCATTCTACAAGTCTACAAGGACATATACACAGGCTTACATGGGTACATCAGTACCGTGAATTGGTCATAGTGGATCAACGAGCATGAAAGGTAACAAAAACATCCCATTAATCATTAGTCTGTTCACTTTTGGGGCTAGAGGGTTGGGAATAAATTCAGACTAATCAAAAGATTACAATAACAATACGAGCCAACCTCACACCCATACATAAAAAATGTAGTTGGATAGACTAAATGCAATCCAAAGTACACAAAAGTATGCAAAGTAATCAAAACTTTAATCCACAATGTCAGTCAAAACATGTACTTTCTACTAGTATTTAGTATGGTGTGAAAATTTCCTTCTCCCACAGCCAATGGCCTCGGGTCAAAGCCACCAATATTTGTCATTGTGTGAAGCTGGCACACCGCTGAATTATTAAAAGGCTTGTTTTTCATCAAGGTGAAATAACACACACAGCATCCCAGTGGCTATGGCAACTAATAACATGATGAAAACCTGGACAGAGGAAACACAGAATCCAGATAAGAAAGCATGTATTTCGTCCACATTTTTGATTGCCCTGTAATTACAGTCAATACAGAAGTGGTCCACTGATTGGTGTGGTGGTAATATGCTATTGTGAGAACCAATGAGCCTGCATGCTGCTGCTAATAGGGCCACAATTGTAAAGTAACTGTGGAATGTCAATATTAGTAATGGCTATTTAATGGGAAAGGGCTCGAGCAATTTATCAACAATTCAGTAGATAAAGCAGGCTTGAAAAGAACAGCCATGTACAGGGAATAATGGGAATGAGATAAGAGGGTGGGGAATCACTATGTAGAACTAAAGCTCAGTCCATCAAATACAAACACTAAGGGAAGAATGCTTTATGGTAGTTAAATAGTTAATATTTAATTGTTGCATGCAAGTTGTAGTTGTAGTAGTAGTGGCATCTTGCAGAGTAGTGGTAGCATTAGTACTGTATTTTTACTTCTAAATGTTCTGAAGGTAAGGTTTACTTAGATATGCCCTAAGCTACTTCTTTCTGGCGGAGTATCAGCCATTATAGCTTCTCCTTGAATGACTCACAGTATGGGATTAAACTATATCTATGTAGACAAGCAGGTGGTGCCTCCAGGCCAAGTCACAGGCCAGATCCGTTGAGAGGCGACCCTGCTCACGGTGAGAATTTACGTTTCTATATTTTTCTTTTCTATATTTTTTTTAAACACCTATAAAAGAAAGATTAGAAAGATAGGTTTAATGCCATACTGTGGAACATTCCAAAGCCATAATATGTTAATGGAGACATACAGAGAAGTTACACAGTGAACCTTTAATTTAAGTGGCATATCTGAACGTCACTGCATTTTAAAGGATTAAGCTAAAGTAAGTATGTCATCTCTTTTTAGTACTTCACCTTATGCGGGTGTTAATTTCAGAAGTCGTGTAAGTGGTGTGTGAACAGGAAGGAACTAGTCATCTTCGCAAAAGCACACCCAAAACTCTGTAGGAAGTGAAAACCTGTGAAAAACATCTATCTAGTGTTGAAAACTCCTCTATTTTAAGCATTGTTATGATATGAAGGTGAACCTGTGTAATGTTCACCAACAGAGGTAAATGGACATCAGCAGTACATGATACAAGAGTGACTCACACAGATCAGCTACAGTATATGGAAATGATTGGTGGGTATTGTCAAAACACACATTTGTGCACATTAGTATTCTGTGTCACTGTGACAGATACAGCTCTTTCTAGCTAATCTCATTTACATGGACAGTTAACTGCACATCTAGCAAACATCTGACCCTAAACACAAAGCTGCATCATTCAGACTAACATTTACATGCATTATCATTATTTCAACATGCATGCTCGCATACCATTAAAAAGTGGACAGAAATAAATCTGGGTTTTGATTAGTCAATAACTTGCAAATAATACATGGAAATAAGTACAGTATAATGGGAAAGGGGAACTGAATATGTAACTTAGATTAGATAGATGCTAAAAATCTCTTTCTCATGCAGACTGCTTTGGAAATAAATGGTGGACAAAACAGTGTCATCTACTGATTTATTACTATTGCCATAATTAAAGACAAACTAAAAGACATTTTCAATAATAACTCAGAGTTGAAAAACACTGGCTTTGAAAAACTGAATAGGCAACTTGAATCAGTGACATCTTATAAAATGTGACTGACTATGTTTTCTACAGTATAATAGCATCATTGGAATAAACAATCACAGGGCAAAAAAGTAACCTGCCCTATATATTAACATAATTTCAAACATTTAGAGGTACACTGTGTAACTTTTCTGTGTGTCTCCATGGAAATGTGGTTTTGCCTGGACTGCTCCACAGTATAGCCCTCAACTTATCTATCTCCATGGAAACAAGTCAAATCTGTGGAGAGTACAGTAAAAATGCAAGAAATGCAAGTTAGACTGTGTAACACTTCTGTCAAAGCAATAAAATCACTATGGAGACAAACGTGACAGTCCCTCCACCAAAAAGTTTACATACTGCACTGTCAAAAATAGAAGTATTAACATTGATGGGAAACACAGCCATATTAAGCCTGCGCTCCTCTTGGTGTTTGTGTTAACCTAAACATGGCACCCTGACTTCCTCTATAGTGAGAATTTGTTGAACACTGACAGCTCTTGTCGTCTCATCTTTTCATTTCCTGTTAGCGACGCTCATCTCATCAGTGACAGGAAGTGGCGTGGCCCAGCTGTAGCCCCTCTCCATCTCTCACTTCTGTCAAACTTCAGTGTACTAACTAGTGTGTGTCACTGCACCTCATGCTTTGTTTGCTACAGACAAAACATCTTCTCTGGTCTTATTTTAGCTCACACTGAAGTTACAACATGAGTCTGCGCAAGTTCAGTGAGTATTTATTGTGATTATGTTTGTATTATGTGTATGAAGTACCAGGGCAAACATGAGCTAGGATTTATTGCAGTGCTACCACCTCCGTTTACTGCTAATTTCAATGACTGTCAAAGACTAATGCTACTACTGCTAATTCACAACCATCTGCCACTCTTAAAGAGAATTAAGCATGGAAATACAAGTTTGCCAACAAATTTAAAAAGGACATATATTCTCTCCATGTTTTCAACAAGGCAGTAACAATGTGGTATTTTTTTCTTCAGTAAATTTTCCAAAAAATAAGGTACTACCTGCAGGAGCAAAAATGTTTTTCAATATTATTCAACAATTTCAAAGTGAAAAGTTACACATTTTTAGGTTCTTTAATATTAACGTGTTGGGAAAATACTTTGGAAATTTTAGTATTTCAGAGTTACTAAAGAGTTTAAGTTACATAGTACTAACATTATTAACATTATTAACAGCATTAGAATGTATTTTGTAACATATTTGTTTCGTGGTAAAATGTATTTATTTTGAATACTTAAACACATTGAGCTGCATCCTAATATAGAGTAAAAATACAAAAGAATTAAAAGAACATCATGTTTGTTTCACTGTTTGTTATGCATTTATTTATCACTATTTAACACTGTCCTTTGTCTTAAGCATTAAAATGGTTCGGGAGCCTCACCAACCTGTCATTCCGCCGCTCCACTGACAAGTCTGAGCCAGAGTCTGGAGGAGGCAGTGTGTCCTTTGATGGAGACAAAGCAGGACTGGACACAGTGCGGGAGTCCACGGCGGACGACCTGGAGGCCATGCGTCCTCGAACAGCCAGCTATGTGAGGTCCAGTGAGGGCTACAGTCATGTAGGCACACTGCCGCGACTGCTCAGGAAGAAGAGGGTCAAGAGCAATAAAGGTCAGAAAACACAGGCACCCAAACCCATTTAAACTTGTATGCAAGAACAATATATCCTATGAAAAAACTTTTCAACCATATTACATTTGCTTTTTATATTGCAAATACATGTACATTTCAGCAATAGAGATTTAGTCATGTCTAATTGTCCATGATATGGTTGGGGTTTTGGAATTGAGAGGTCTACAGCCAGTCCTCTGTCAGGATAAGCATGTGTTTTTGATCGGACTTCAAACTCTGGAGGGATTCTTTTATTATTTTTTGGGTTACACTACGCTAAAACTATGTATGGTTTATGTTCATGAGATCAGTACTAAAAGCCATTATAATGCTTGTTTTGGAGAAGATCAAATCGAAAATCAAGATAAAATATATATCCTGATATTTTTTTCCCCATATCATCCAATCCTACTTAAAATTTTTACCCTTGTCTAATCCCCAGAGTGCCCCAGCAGCAGTAAGAAGGCTAAAGACAAGTACAGCCTTGGCAGAAGTCAAAGCCAGCGCCATGATCAAGAGCACTGCCACGAAAAGATAAGGGACAGTCCCACCACAGAGACCACACCAGAGGAGGGGACACCTGGAGCTGACCCTGGAGCCAATTCTCCACCAGATCCAAGTCCAACCACTCCAAATGAAGATACAGGACAAAATAGTGCCACAGACCTCCAACAAGACTCCCCTGAATCTGTATCTGAGAAGTTGTCTCCCCCTAGTGGCTCCAGCGCTGACGTACAAACAGACACCTGCAAAACAACAAATCATGAAAAGCGAGAAGAAATAGATTTTGAAGAGAAAACATCACCTGGATCGTGTAGCTTAGTTGTATCTGTCATCAGTGAAGAAGACAAGGAGCACAAGCCCGACATCGTATGTGACCAAACGAAACAATCACCAGAAAGGGAAAAGGACGCGAGGTAGGCTATTCATAAAACGCTTAAAAGTTAATATTTAGGACAAAAGATATAAAGTAACTTAACACACGCGGTCACTCGGCATATGAAGCAATAGAACTAAACCACGCCACATCCTGTAGTCAAACCAGAAGCTGTACGCACTAGCCAGTCAAATGAAAGTGTTAGCCTACAGTGCAAATAGTTGGCTATAAAAATGCTTGTGGCACTTACATTTAAAAGTCATTCAAAACTCAATTTAACTTATTTCTGGACATCCTTGGATGACATGTGCAACTCAAATTCTCCGGAAGTGATCAAACCAGGGACAAAAGGTTAATGGGTCAATACCTTTAAGTACAAACAGGGGGGGCTCTTATGCGGCTTGTCGCGCTCAAAGGTTTTGAGTGTACCTAGTTTGTGCGGACTTCGGTCATCGTTTGGTTTTCTTTCGTAGGGACGCAAGGTGAGATGGTTTATTTAAATGATTTTCCATTATTTAGTGTTATTTATTAAGTGCTTTAGAGGATTTAAATTTCTTGAACAGTTTTTGTTGTCTTTTTAATGTTTTATATCGATTAGTGTGGTCGTGGGCATCTTACAGTCTTGGACGTATTTTATCCTTTTTTTTTAAGTGCCTTCAATTTCTGTTCTTTGTTGAATTTTTTTGTCATTTCCCACGACATGCCCAGCCTCATCACAGCGTAGCCATATCGCGTTACATTGGGATTTTCACCATGTGCGTAAAGCGCAGTTGAAAGCTGTAGAAAAGCTGGCACCAGGGGCGTGCGTGTTGGAGCGTGCATCCGCGCATTAGTTCAGCATAGGGACCGTGGGAATAGTGCTCTGTGGTGTACAGTCAGCCCGGTATGGGACATCAAAGAGACCCTTTCTTCCGTCTGTGCTGCCCTAAATCATGGACTCTGTCTAGGCATCTCTGTGACCAACTGTCCTTATCTAGCTCTGCTTTGTCCCAGCCAGAAGTGGAGCTTTTTGAGGAAAAAGTGTTAATGTATCCGTCCCCTGCTTGTCTCCATGAAGGTGTTATTGCTTTGCCTGGAGTGTTCAACAGTATGGCATTTAACTGGCGAGGTGACTCCTCTCATGTTACAATTAAAACAAGCTAGAAGTATCATACAGTTGAAATTTACAGGCAAGGTAACATTATCTTCATAGAGAAAGTAGGCACTGGAACCCCACTCCCACTAAGGCTACATTAGTGTCCCTTTATTAAAATAACCATGATTTAAACTGAAACATGCATGTAGAAATGTTTCTTTGTTCGTTCAAAAGTTGCCACAGATCATCATGATTCTTATCTTCAATCAGCTCAATCTTTTTACTAGTATGAAAAGAGCGATGTATGTCTTCTGTTTGATGTATGTCTTCTGTTTGCAATGTACAAAATGTGGGGCAAGATTCCAGTATTGTGGTCTGAGTTTGTGGTTTTAGGGAGTGCCACTGGTCTTACAGAATAATTGTTTATGTGGATCACACTCTGTCATTTGAAGATACCAGCGGCAGACCCTTGGGGCCTGTCAGTGCCACAATGCAACAACAGACATGTTGGACTTGGACAGAAACAAAGTAGCACAAATAACATTAAAACTATAATTTCTTATGTAGAGGCTTTATTTGCTTTTCACACTATCAGTTAGACTTTATCTTAACAATATGAATCATTTGAATATTTGCACCGCTGATATGATATGGTTACATTTTCTTGAAAATATGTTGCTTTGTCTGACAGATTACTAGGAATGAACATGATATTACTTGATATAATCTATAAACCAAAATTGTGATTTCTTTACTAGTAGTTCTTGATTTCAGTAAAACATGTGATCATAACATGAATCTTAATTCATTGATACATGAAGTATGCCAACAAAATACCATACTTTTCTTGTTATAGTAGTAGTAACTGTTTCAGTCCTGTGGGTTGAGCACTTGTTGGCACTTTGATCTGCCCTCTCTGTGCTCATGTGGGACACAGCTTTGCCCCTGGGCCACTGGGGCCTTCATACATTAGGGAGCTGTACGAAAGATGTTAAAACATTCTGCATAATTGCATGCGTCTTTCAGATGGTTCTCACTCTAGTCTGTAGTACAAAGTGAGCCCAGTAGTTGAGCCTGTTCACCTCCTAGGCTGGCCACAAGGGGGCTTTTTGACATGTGATTTGTATCCATCATGTGTGGAGTTATGGTACCCAGGAGATCTGAACTTAATGCTCAGTAGAGTATATCATATCAGGGGTGGAAAGAAGGCTGCTGGGAAGTGGGCCATGGGAAAACAAGCTCAAAGTAGTGGTGTAACATGCACTGCACCTGTTACAATAGGTTTCTGTTTGTGTTTTAGAATTTTATGATGTCATAATTTCAGATGGAGACTCTCTATGGAAGACATGTCCAAATTTATGATGCACAAACATTGAACTTTATCATTATTTGTTAGGGACTGGCTCCACAAACATGCCGTATTACTCATAGCACCATTTTCTGAAGCTATTGTTAAAAAGTATTTTACTTAGTTTATTTATGAGGATGTTGAACTGTGTCAGGCCTGTTTGTTTTATGTAGATGGGCTCAGTAATTACAGCGATCTTAACCATTCTGCGGGAGAATTTGGACCTGGCCTCCTGCTCAACTGGAGAGAAACTAGAGATTCTGTTGTTGATCATGTTGTGAACATGTGATGTCACATGAATGCAACCCATTTTTGATCTTGATGTTGCAATGTTAGACTACTATTGTGTCTGAATCCATTCATGTTTTTCTTTGTCTGTCTTTTAGCCACATGGAGTCCACTGAGTGTCAGCCTGAATATGTCCTGGTGAGTAGCATCCCGCTTTTTTACTTTTGTTTTATTTTGAACACTTTTCAAAAGTCACCACATAGATATGTGTAACAACAATTTGTTTTAGTGGTATAATTATTTTATTATCAGTCTGAATAGAGATTAATGAGTATGGGAGTTTTCATGACTGATTCCAATATTTTAGAAGCCATGTTGTTCTGATGTGACTGACTTTTATTTATCCTCTATAGGGGATAAATAACCAGAGAATGAAATTAGTGAAATGAGTTGAATTATGAGTTATAAATAAAATAGAATAGTAAAATGACAATAAATATACATTTTAAATTGGCTTCCTTTTAACTAAACTACCTAGTAAAAAAATTTAATTAAAAATGCAATAAAATTATTGTAAAGAAGAACATCTCTGAATGAATTATTTATGTTTTATATACTGTATCTTCCTGTTTCTACTTGTTTAGTCTTCCATGGTATAAAATTTATTTATTAGGCTGGATTTGCACCCATCTTTTCAGTTTTCTTCCATAATTATAGCCAGTTACCTTTTACATTCTGGGGACAATACACAGAGGCCATCTCTTCCATTACTCCTCCTGTATGTATATAAGGGATCCATTTTCTGCTTGAGATACCATTAAGTATGAGTTACAGCAGTCTGACCCTCCCTGATCTCCCTCTGAATGAGATGTTTAATGTGAGCTCTCAGAAATAATTGAGTTTGATTATCAGCCCTTGTCCACAACAGTTACCCTCTTTTCAGCAGGCTCATTCTGCATTTACTCTAATATGCTCTGCCATTTAGTTAATTGAATTTGAACTTAAGCAGCTCTCGAGGCAGCAGTGACCGTGAGGTGTTTCTGCATGTTCATCCCAGTAGGTGGCGCCACTGTCTCAAATTAGAATGTCGCTTGTGATCATCCAACTGCACTGTATTTCATTATCATAGAAGAGCTATGTAAACATTGTAATTTTATTATATTTTAATAGCTGTGATTGATATTGATATAAATAAATACATGTTTTGTATCCCAGTAACAACATTTAGACAATGTTATGCCAATCCAATATAAGCATGTCTTTAAAAGTATGTGGAGGTTAAGTATCAGACAAATGTAAAATTACTCATAAAGGTGCAGCAATATCACTTGCATTTTGAAACAGCCCTTTTTGCATTTTTTTTTTCATCAATGATGTATTCAGATATCTCATAAGTTCAAAACAAGATTCACAATATTTTATTTTTTGTAAATAGTTGACAGTCTCAAGTCAGGAACTGAGACAGTAGATCGTAAAGCTGGAAGTGAGTGGAGTGGACAGGAAGACCTCAAGTTCATCTGCTCTTAGGAACTGTTGAGCTATTGATTAGACATCAGAGGCAGGCAGTAAAAGGCTTCTCCTATGACCCTGACCCGCTATTCTTTTGTAAAACAAATACAACCATTTCCCATGGCCATAACAAATTGACTATAGTCAAATCCCTGTACGCCTCCCTTCACAACAGATTTACTAAGCCGCTGTGTGTAAACGCTCTCAACCTTTTCTGACATATGAAGTCCAATACAGCAGCTCTGCATGTATTAAAAGGAAATTCAGACTTGTACCAGACAATACTGCTTGTGAAATGAAATGTGCGTATATACCTTTCTTCTTTTGATATGGAGATCCGGTTGGTGTCACATCTTGTACAACTGTATCATATTATTAAACCAATGGAGATTGATGCTAACTGATGCGAACTTCTGGAATTAGTCTGGTAACTGTATTGACCAGTAGGCCTTGTGATCCAATAGTCAATGGGGTTGTCCCATGACTGTTTTGTTAATTTTTTTTAGTTTGTTTTCGCTATTCCATCAATATGATGCAATTCTCTTGCTTACACAAGATGGCAGATTTTGGTAATGATGTTTAATTTCTGACTTTGTTTAATTTCTGTAGCCAGTAAGTTGCAGAGGAAAAAACACCCAGCATACAACCTGACACTAAGAGAGAAAATCATCATCATTTTGTCTTTATATACCTAATAGAAGGAAGAATATATAGAGTTATATATTTAAAATCAATAAATCCTAATATCTTTATTTTTTTCAGTCTAATCTCAAAGCTATCTTTTTTTAGTTGTACATTTCTTTCCCACCCTGTTCTCTTCTTCTCCCTCAGTTGCAGCCAGCATTCTCTCCATCTCCCTCCATCTTTCTGAAACATTTATGACAGCTGATGTTTAAATCAGGAGTTGGCCTCAGTGTAGCGTTTCATAATGGGACAGACCACATCGCTGACCCCCTTCACCTTGTATCACTTGGCTTATGACATGTGCATGCAAACACACAAGCCCATTATTTTAAAGGTGCATTGTGTAACTTTTCTGGTGAAGGGTAGGCCATTTGCTTGTCTCGCTGGAGATGTTATTGCTTTGTCTGGAATTTTGCACAGTATGGCATTTAACTGATCTATCTTGCATTCATCTAATTACAAATATTTTAAGGCTAAAATGCCTTCGGTGAACAAGGTTGCCTCTCCACAGATCTGACCTGTAACTTGGTCTGGTGCCATTAGCTCCTTGTCTCCATGGTGATAGGTTTAATGCTGCACTGTGAAGCATGCTAATCAGTGCCCTCTCCATATAGACAAGCAGGAAATGGACCCTGTGTTACACAGTGCATCTTTAAATCTGAACAGACCAACAGATTAGACAAAAAATGCCACGAAGCAACTGCCTGTTTTGTGTCACATTATACTAATTTATTTTTAAAAGAAAAATTTTAGTTCAGGCTTATTTAAAAGTGGTATGTTTGGCTGTGCCTCTCTTCCATGATTGTACCTTTGATTTTTGCCTGCAGCTCAGCCTGGCTTTGTCTCCTGTCCTATTTAGTGTTAGATTAAGAGGAGGGGTCTTGGGGGGAGGTGAACCAGGTCTCAGACGCTCACAAAAAAAGACAAATCATCAGAGGGAAATCTCAGCTGTGGATCTATATGCATAACTGAGTTTTTGATTATATGCGAGGTTTTGAATTTCCAAAATCCAAAATTAAAGTGTCTTTGTTAGTGCCGCCTGATTAAATCTGGGCAGTGCCCTGTGGGAGCGTGCATGTGTGTGACTATTACAGTGCTCTGAATAATGTGGTGCCACAGTAGATGGGAGGGGAGGGGGCTGTTAACTGTCATGGCCGGGCCTCAAAAGCACCCCTGGAAGTCATCTTAACACTGCATGCAATGTTCAGTGTGCAGGGGGCAGGTTTCAGCCATAACAAAGGGAAATTTTATTACAGATGTCCTATTTACTGTTGGTGCACTGTCAGCAAAAGTAATATTTGTGTCTCAAGAATGTAATTGTATTGCAGTGTTAAGGTCACCAGATAAAAATATATGGAGCTTTAAAACATATTTCATGTAAAAAACAAAATGCACATATTTGTAAGTATGGGAAACCCATGATTACCCAGTACCTTTTCTATCCCACATCATAACATTTGTCTGTGTACTATAGCTCTTTTGACATTTTTCTGATTTCTAAGATGGTGATTATTGTCAGACCAAACATTTTTTCTAGAACTTTTAAGCAGCCTGAGCTGCATAACTTGCAGTTTTTATGGCTTAGGAAAAGTTGAAAAATAGACATTCAAATAATTGGCATTCTCAAATATAACCTTTATTCTCATATTACATTTGTCGGTGGCCTCTGTTGAATAAGAGTACCAGTAATTAGAGTTTTTAAATATAGGTGATACTTAGCTGCTGGTACGTGGTGCCTCAGCAGTTGGAGCAGCTGCTTTCTTGTCTCCTTATATCTGGGCCTCACTCTCATTTGTACTTAAATCATAATGCTGACTGTCAGCACAGTCATAATGCTTATGTAAATGGCATAGTTGCCCTTGTAATTAAGATGTGTAAAAGTCATACCCACGAGTGAGAGTATTTCTGCTATGGTAAAGTAAAATAGAATGTATGTGGGGCCAACTGTAAAGACTGAGTATAGTTTGATAACATTAGATTTTAGTGGGAGCTTGGTTCACATAGTGAAATGTTAAAATTAGAATAAAACAGAAATCTTGTACATACTTCCAGCAACATGTATGAGCTAATTATTACTTTGCTGGATATATAATGAATGCCTAAGCCCTAAGCCCTTTAACCAAATGGACATTGTCATTAGTATAACTGGGAAAGGAGCAGAGAATGAAGAAATACCATATCTTTGTACCAAGCAAGCTGTGAAGTTTTAAGTAATAAGCACCTTGAAGTAGAATTTGAAAATAGGCATTAACAAACTCCATTTTGCTGGCCTTAAGTCTTGCAGATATAGATGATTTGTGCTGTCATTCTTCTCAAGATGCCATTTGATGTTATACAGAAGCATCATTTGAACATCCAATATGCAGAGTCTCTTCTGCTCTCTGGCATCTCCATCTGTGTTTTATTGTGTTTTCACTGTGCAGAATTGCACTTGTTACCTGCCCATCGCTTTCCAAGGTCAGCCTCTGTTATCTGTGCACTGCCACGGAGAAGCACACCCAGGAGGTCCACAATAATGAGCAACACATTGATCTGCTACAATGGTCCTACGCTCCACTTTATTTGCACTAAAAATCAGTTTAGTTTCCACAGCAACAGTTTCATAAGCTTTAGTCATTTTAATAACAGTAAAGCAGGGCTGTCGATTTGTTATTTCACAAGGGCAGATGGTATAGGTGAAGAGAAATGATAACTTGTAGACATAATTGGTAATATTGAATTAAAGGTAGATGCTATAGAGCATTCAGATTCTGTAGAGCATTCAGTAAGTTCTTGGTTTGAACCTCCCTTGCCCACACCATATACTAATAATATTGTGTGATATTGTTTGTTGCATGAAGTTGTTCCTATTTTGTTGGGCCAGTTGTAGTTTCTATGTAATAAAAGGTGTACTATGGAACTTTTCTGGGGGGGAGTTGGATCTGTGGTGAGGTGACTTCACTCTCAATAAGAATGTAAGTTTTGACTGTATTTGGAGCATGTGTTATTGTATAACTGAAAAGTAC